ATGTATTCTGGCTCCGCCAGAGGCACGCTGTCTGCTTTGGACAGGATCTTCGCGTCTCTGCCAGGCTGGGCGCTTGACCAGCTCCACGCCACGGCCCAGGTCAAGGAGTCTCCAGAGGAGATGTGCAGAGGGGAGCGATCGACATCAGGGATTGACGTCGATAGGCTCTCAGCGGTCACGACCACCAGTTCCATGAATCGTTTCATTCCGCGTGTCCCCGCAGGGATTCTGGTCCTCTTCCCTCGTCATCCTTCCCCTATTCCCCTTCCTCGCAGGCGTCACCATCGAGATCATATCCTTACCCATAGGCTAGTTTTTTTTTAACTCTTATCCTTCCTCACCCTCCTCCTCATCCTCCCTTTTCCTTTCCGGTTCCTCCTCCCCCTGTCATTCCCTTCCCTTCTCGCCTTCCTCCTCGTCGTCGTCGTCCTCCTTCTTTTCCTTCTCTTCTTGCGTAGCCAGTGAGAGGGGTAGGCCCTGGGTCTGTGCCCGGGGCCTGGCGGCCTTCTTCGAGGCCTCCGGGGCTGCCCCGGCCAAGAAGAGGCTGGTTTGGCTCGAGGGCAGAGGCCACAACGAGGCGCCCCTGGGCCTCAGAGGAGGGATGGACGGCTGCTTCCCCTTGCTTCCTCTTCCCTGCCTCCTTCCCTTTCCTCCTGCTCCCTGCCTGCTGTCTCCGCCCGGGCCCCCCTTCCGCCTGCCCGCCCGCCCCGCTGGCCGGGGCCTCCCGCCTGCGCGTTCGTTGTCGTCTGCCTGCTTCTCCTCCCGCCCCCACCTTCGCTGGGCAGCAAAGCCTGCCCGGGAGCAGCGTGGAGCGTCTGGTGTCGTCGTCCTGCATGACGAGGTCCCCCCCGGCGCTGGCTATTTTTGGATCCTCTTCATGCATCTGGGATGAAGTGCTGTCGTCGTAGCCTTCGTAGCCCCAGACAAGGTCGGGGCCCCTTCACCAGAGCTCGATGGGCCTCAGAGGAGGGACGGACGTCGTAGCCTTCGTAGCCCCAGACAAGGCCGGGGCCCTTCACCAGCTCGAGCTCGACGGGAGCATCGAGACGGCGGTGCCTCTGCCCCGATTGGCCTTTTGAGGGCCGCGTCATTGGAAAGAAAGCGATGCAACAGAACGGGAATGTATACGAGGTTCCACGAAGGTGCTCGGAGAGGGATCAGAGGGGGAGGAGAGAGCCCCGGGGAACGAATGTGAGTGGGGAGGGAGGGACAAGGGGGAGGAGGCGAGCTTGGCTCTCGAGCTTGACTTTCCGTGTTTTCCCGCGTGGCTGGCGGGGAGCGCCGAGGCGCCGCTGGGAATCTTTCGGAAGGGCCCACAGGACTAGCACACAAATTGCCACGCCGTGCGCCCCTCTGACGCCTACGGCGAATCACCGCCGCCCCCTGCCTTTTTGGAAGCGCCTATGTGGCCGAACGTTGAGGCCAGACCTGCCAAGCTATCGGACCACGTGTTCCCCGAATCGGTTTGGAAAGCCTTCGGGGAACACGTGGGCATCTTGAAGGTCATCTTGGCCGTCTTGGAGGCCTCTTGGGCAAGCTTTGGGCGATCTTTGGGGCTTTTTGGGCCGTCTCGGGCCAGCTTCGAGCCAACTTCGGCCATCTTGGTGGGTTCCTGGCACGTCTGAAGCCGTCGGAAGCCGTTTGGGGGGCCTCTATGGGCCGACTTGGGGCCCGCTTGGAATGCTCCAGGGCCGTCTTGGAGGCCATCTTGGGCGTCTGGGAGGCCATCTTGGGCGTGTTGGAGGCCTCTTGGGCCCTCTTGGGGCCCTCTAGGGGCCATCTTGGAGGCCACTTGGGCCATCATGGGGCTCTCTTGGGGGCCTCTTGGGCGATCTTGGGGGCTTCTTGGGCCGTCTTGAGCCGTCGGAGAGCCGAAAAGGCGCAAATGCCAAAATCCTTCAAAAACCAAGGGAAAATCAATGATTTTGGCCTCTTCGGACTCTCCTGGAGGACCTCTTGGAGGCCTCTTGGGCCGTCTGGGAGGCCTCTGGGGGGCCTCTTGGGCCGTCTTGGGCCGTCTTGGACTCTCTTGGGCCGTTTTGGAGGCCGTCTTGGACCATCTCGGGCGGACTTGGAGGCCATCTTGGGCCATCTTCGCGATTTTTTGAGGATGTCCCGAGCGAAACGGCCGTTTTTGGGCATTGACAGACGCATTTTGGGAAACGCGCGGGTGGCCGGCGGGACGGGCCGAAGCCCACTGGGGAGTTCTTTTAGAAAAAGAACCAAAACCAAAACTGAATCATCCAGCACGCCGTGCACCCCTGCAAGCAGGGGGCGGCGGATCTGGTCGCCTTCGGCCCATCTGGCCACCGCGCCTGGATTGTGGGTCAGAGGCCTCGGACCTTTTGGGATCCTCTTGGGCGACTCTGAGGTGCCGTCTGGGCGTCTGAGGGCCTCTCGGCGATCTCGTGGGTTCCCGCACAAGAGGGCTCCTGTGGCCGGTGGCTTCTCCCCCTCTTAGGTTGGAGACAGGCAAGAACTCAATACTTGGTGATGCTGTCTGGCTTCCGGAAAGGTTGTGCGACAGACCACGTAAGGCATGCTGGGAGACCCAAGACATTTACCCCGTGGGTCCCCGGGTCTTTTGAAGGGCAGCTGCGGCTTTCAATCCAGAGAACTCGAAGGGACTTGAGGGCACACCTCTCAGTGCCTACGGCACGGCTGAGGATATTGATAACGTTCGGGGGAGTCCCAACTCCATTATGAAAAGGAGTTGCCCTCCATCTTTATTCATGCTGGCTGCTTTACCAACGATGTACAAGGTTCTAGGGAGAGAGTCACGTTTAAATGAGCACCGTCGCTCCATCCTTGTAAACGTTGGAAGCCTTCGACTCGAATTTGCGTGGTGCTAAGGTGATGGTTACACTATCTAATCGAGCCGCCTACACCCGTGTAGTGGACGGCGGACGGGATATTGAAATAAATCTCATTTTGAAAGTCATCATCCCTCCATCTTCTTTTCAGGCGATTGTGCGCGGCGTTGAATTGATAACCGCATTTTGGAACGTACACACCCTTGACCCCGTTAGTTGTTGGAGCATTTCAAGCTTCAGGATAATACGTGGTGGGGAAGTCCTGTGCGAAACGCCAGGACCGCCCTGCCGACACGTTTGGTGGTGTGGCGATGAGGAGCTATCTATCAGGTGAGGCTGGAAGAGAACAATCAATCATTCATGCTCTTTCAGTACGCAGGCAGAGGAGGCGAAGAAGGTTGCGCGGATGGAGCAAGGGGGAGGATCCAGAGTTGGAGGAGAATGAGTACGCGGAGTAGTATGAGGATTGTGAAGGCCGTGACATTGGAAGACGGGCGCCGAGGAGACACGATGAGTGGTGGAAGAGAACGAGTTCGATTAGGGTTAACTTAAGGGACGGCGGATGATGATGAGGAGGATGAGGTGAAGGAGAGGAGGAGGAGGAGGAGGAGGAGGAGGAGGAGGAGGAGGAGGAGGAGGAGGAGGAGGAGGAGGAGGAGGAGGAGGAGGAGGAGGAGGAGGAGGAGGAGGAGGAGGAGGAGGAGGAGGAGGAAGGAATCTACGATGAAGAGAAGGGGGCGGTGGGGAGGAGGCGGAGGAGCCGGGGCCTGGCGAATACTGTGACGCTGCTAGCGGGGCCCCCCTTTCGCGCACAGTTAATAGGCTGCCGCCCCGTGTGACTTCCGATGGTCTGGGCACTCGGGCTGGGCCCTTGTCTGGGTTGTTGGCTGGGCCCCGCACTCTCGATCCATCCTCGGCCCTCTCGAGGTGGGTCTGAGCCGCGAGTACTGGCAGCGGCTCGCGGGCTTCCTCGACAGCGTCGGCGGCTGCTGAGGGCCTTCCCGCGGGCCGCGCGCTTGGCCGTGCGCCCGCCACGGCGGCCCTGGCGCGACTTCGTGGCCGTGGCGCCGCGCTCTTTGTGTGGTCCTGTGGCTGTTGCAAAAGAGTTCGGGCCATACAGTCGGACCGAGGTGTAAGATCGAGGTCGGTTCGGGGAGGGATGTTCTTCGTGCTTGTTGGACGTTCTTGTGCATCCTTTGGAGGGTACTCTGGGATGGTCTGTGTGTTTAGGAGGGCGGGCGGTCTCATGTTCCTGGCGGATGTTCTTCTGGCCTAGGTCCGACTGTCGTCTTTGGAGCAGACTTCGGCGGTAGCCCCATCTTGTGGCTCTTGCAGAAGAGTTCTGGCCATCGTCTTTGGAGCAGACTTCGGCGATAGCCCCATATTTAAAGAGGACCACTCTATTCCTGCAGCGGCGGGAAGCGCGAGGCGGGGATGTGCGCGGCGCTGGAGCGCGAGCTACGTCTTCACCATGCACTCTCCATTCTTGTAGCTGCTGGGATTTCGAAGGCCTTACGGCCGGTGCCGCCGACCCTGAACGACGACGACGACGACGGCGGCGGCGACGACGAAGATCATGCAACAACTGTTCGGATAATCATTGATTTTGCCATCTTGGGATTCTTGGGGCTCTCTTGGACCAGATGGAGGCCTCTTCGGGGCTTATTCGGGCTCCTCTTGGGGCCTCCTGGTGGCCTCTTGTGGCGGAAGGCTCGAAATGTCGGTTGCGGGATTGTGCGCGGCGCTGAAGTTCGAGCCACATTTTCACCATTCGCCCTCCATTATTGTGGCTGCTGGTATTTGAAAGGCAAACGTGCGCGGTACCAAGGCGGCAGCACTACTTGTTGAAAGCCACCCGCCTTCCATCCATACACATGTGGGAAGCCTGTAAGACGGATGCGCGCGGCGCCAAGGCGGAAACCGCATTTTGAAAGCCACCCGCCTCCCATCTTCGCAAATCTCAGGGTCACAAGCGGTGAGGAAGTCTCGGGCGAGGCTCGCTGTCCGCCCTGCCCCGCCTTGCACGCCTCGTGGTGCGACGCGGGGGAGCTTGCCTGTACAGCAGGGGCGGGGGAGGAGGAGGAGCAGGAGGCAGCGTTACTCTTTGTCCTCATGGGCTAGTCTGCTTTTCTTTCGCTGCTTGCACGTCCTGTTCTGCACGCGCCGCCTGCTTCATTTGTCCGTCGCTAAGCCTAAGTCGGTCTCGCACTTTTTTGTCTCATGTTAACGCTTCAGCCTCGCGCCACAGTCCGACCAACGTAAAAAAAAGAGAGCCCCCCTCCCCTCCTCCCGCCCCCTTTCTCGAGGGAGGTCCCCCTTCCCCCCTCGAGGACGGGAGGGTCCCCCCCCGTCCTCGACGAGGGCCATCCCCTCGGGGACGGGAATGCTCCCCCCCTCGAGGACGGCAAGGCCACCCCCCCCAACCCCTCGAGGACGGGAAGCCCCCCCCTCGAGGACGGCATGGCCACCCCCGTCCTCGACAAGGGCCACCCCTCGTGGGCGGGAAGGCCCCTCGAGCACGGGACGGCCCCCTCCCCTCCCCGAGGCCAGGCCCAGTCGGCTCGCGCGCTCCAGCCGGGCCACCCGCCCGGGGGCGGGGCCCGCCTGACACTGTACGTACGAGAGTCGGCTGCACGTGAGAGTGGCCTCTCGCCGGAGGGACCTCCGGCGCGGGCACGCGGGGTCCCCATGGTGACCGAGCGCGATGCGGAAGCAGCGCCAGGCGCGCCCAGGTGTGGCCTCCCCGCGGCCCCGGAAGGCCGCGCATCCAAGGTCTCTCTCTCTCTTGCCTGGGGTCACTCTTGCGCGTAGCCGAACTATAGACTCCACCCTGCAGCTCCCCCCCCGCGTCGGCCCAGCGCGGGATGGCGGCCGCCTCCCGCCTGCTCGCGTGGGCGGCCCTCGCAGGCGCGGGGGATGGGCCGCGCGGGCGGGGGTCGGGCTGGGCCAGGACGAGGGTGAATCCGTTCCAGAGCGCTCCGGAACGCTCTCAGAGCGTTCCGGAACGCTCTGAGAAGGCCGCTGCGCCCGAGAAATCTTCCAGAGCCGCCAGATCTCAGAGATTCTCGATTTGTCTCCACCCGAATTTAACTTCGTCCTGGCTTCGTCTTAAGGGGGGCTCCCGAGTCTGCGACCACTTGCGAATCTAACCCCTACGGGTCCGATCGGCGCTGGCGTACCAGGCACCTCTGCCGGGTTCACTTGTGTGCAGACACCGCTCCACTCCCGGAGCCCAGCCGGCTTTTCAGAAATCTGGCCCGCAGGGGCAGGGTTCGCACGTGGCTGCCTAACGAAGGGCAGGGGCAAGGGAAGTGGGTCCTGGTGGGAGCGGAGCCTGAAGTCCTCTCCAGCTTTCAACCTCCCAGGACCCCTTCGGGGTCGCAGGACCGTCAACAACGACTCAGGATGAACAGCTGGTCCTGAGGGAATCCGACAGGTCCAGGATCTGTTTGGCTCAGTTTTCCTTCCCTACATGCCAAGTCGTGTTGTGTGTGTGTGTGTGTGTGTGTGTGTGTGTGTGTGTGTGTGTGTGTGTGTGTGTGTGGGCTCGCGGAGGCTCAGGCAGCGGGCCTCGGATAAAACAATGTTCGGCGCGGATATCCCCATTCGTGCGTCGCTTCTCTTGGGAGGCTCGAGTGCCTTGCCTGCTACATCGTGGTGGTCATGCGGCTGTGAAGACTGACGCGTCGACTCCTCACCCGAGACACCCTCGCAGCCTGGGCGAAAGGGCCCGTGTCATACCTCCCTGGCGGCTCCCCCTTGGGAGGCTCAGACCATGACCGCTCAATGGGCTCTCGAACCCACATGTAGTCCAGACCAGTTTGCCAATCTCGGGCCCAGGATCCCGGCCAGGCCGTTGTCGACCCCAAATCGACCCCCAACCGATAGGGGCCCGATAGCCCAAGCCCGCCCAGGAAGGTGCGGTTTCGCTATCGGGAGCCTATCGCCGATCTATCGACGATGTATCGATTCCAGGTCGATGCCTACCCCCCTGTGCCAGTCCCCCCTATCGTTGCCCCTCATCCCTGCTCGACCACGGGTGCCCTCCTGCGGCTCCGATAGCTCGCGCCCTTGCCTATTGGCGCCGAATCCGCCGCACCTCCGCCGCCGCTCCACCGCCGCCGCCGCCGCCGCCACAGGAGGAGGAGGAGGAAGAGGAGGCGGAGGAGGAGGAGGAGGAGGATGAGGCGGAAGAGGAGGAGGCGGCAGCAGCGGCGGCGGCGGAGGAGGAGGAGTCAGGGGCGGCAAAGAGGGAGGTGATGACCAGGGGGGGTGGATATCATGGCGGGTCCATGATATCTCCGCAGATTTCATTGCGCCTCTTCTTACGTAGCACCCCGCAATTGCGGATAAGAGTGAGGGGGCGGGCGCGGGCGACGCGGGCGTCGTCGAGCCGGCGGACCTCGTGGCCCCCACCTTCCCTGTCGTCGATGGCGCTCCTCCTCCTCCTCCTCCTCCTTCCTCGTCCTCGTCCTCATCGTCATCGTCATCCTCCTCCTCCACCTCGTCCTCCTCCTCTTCTTCCTCGTCCTCCCTCTCCCCCCCCTCGTCCTTTCATCATCGTCCTCCCATTGTCGTCCTCCCCCTCATCGCCTCCATCATCGTCCTCCCATAGTCGCATCATCATCATCATCCTCCCCCTCCTCCCCCTCCTCGTCCTCCTCCCCTCCTCCCCTCCTCCTTCTTCTCCTTCTTTCTTTCTTCACATTCTCCTTACATCCTCTCTTCTTCCGCGTTCTCCTCGTCCCCTGTTTACTCCTCCTGCCTTTCCCTCCTTTCCCAAGATAACTGCAACGCAATCCTTTTTTCCCAACCCTCCTGCGTTGGGTACTCGTTTTGAATAGAGCACTGCGGTCGCGTCTCCCCTCCTCCTCCTCCTTCCCGTCCCCCTCCTCTCCTCCCTTCTCCTCCTCCTCCTCTTTTCTCTTGCATCCCTTCTCCTCTCTTCGCTCCTCCTCTTCTGTTTTGCTTCCCTTCACCTCTCAACTTCGGTCCTCCTCTTCTCTCTTGCCTTTTACGTCGCTTGCCCCTCGCCATCCCTGGGGGGCTGCGATCTGTGAAGCTGTCGCCACTTTCGAGGGCTGCTGGGGACGTCTTACGGGGACTCAGTTTTGACCTCGCCATCGCTGGGGGGCTGCGATCTGTGAAACTGTCGCCACTTTCGAGGTCAGCTGGGGGGCCCAGCGGAGTGTCGTCTTACGGGGACTCAGATTAGACCTCGCCATCCCTGGGGGGCTGCGATCTGTGAAACTGTCGCCACTTTCGAGGGCTGCTGGGGGGCCCAGCACAGTGACGCCTTACGGGGACTCATATTAGACCTCGCCGTCGCTGGGGGGCTGCGATCCGTGAAACCGTCGCCACTTTCGAGGGCTGCTGGGGGGGGGGGGGCAGCGGAGTGACGTCTTACGGGGATTCATATTAGACCTCGCCATTCCTGGGGGGCTGCGATCTGTGAAACTGTCGCCACTTTCGAGGGCTGCTGGGGGGCCCAGCACAGTGACGTCTTACGGGGACTCGGATTAGACCTCGCCATCGCTGTGGGGCTGCGATCAGTGAAACTGTGGCCACTTTCGAGGGCTGCTGAGGGGCCCAGCACAGTGACGTCTTACGGGGACTCATATTAAACCTCGCCATCCCTGGGGGGCTGCGATCTGGGAAACTGTCGCCACTTTCGAGGCCTGCTGGGGGGCCCAGCACAGTGGGTACCCACGGCGGATTCAAATGGGACCTCGCCATCCCTGGGGGGCTGCGATATGTGAAACTGTCGCCACTTTCGCGGCCTGCTGGGGGGCCCAACACAGTGGGTACCCACGGCGGATTCCAATGGGACCTCGCCATCCCTGGGGGGCTGCGATCTGTGAAACTGTCGCCACTTTCGAGGCCTGCTGGGGGGCCCAGCACAGTGGGCACCCACGGCGGACTCAAATGGGACCTCGCCGTCCCTGGGGGGCTGCGATCTGTGAAACTGTCGCCACTTTCGAGGGCTGCTGGGGGGGCCCAGCACAGTGGGTACCCACCGCAGACTCAAACCTCGCCATCCCTGGGGGGCTGCGATTTGTGAAAGTGTCGCCACTTTCGAGGCCTGCTGGGGGGGGGCCAGCACAGTGGGTAGTCACCGCGGATTCACATTAGACCTCGCCATCCCTGGGGGGCTGCGATTTGTGAAACTGTCGCCACTTTCGAGGCCTGCTGGGGGGCCCAGCACAGTGGGCTTCCCGCACGTCTTTCTCCTGCTCTTCGTTCCCGACTCCCCATGTCTTCTTCGAGCCTGTAGTTGTCGCCCTTCGTTCTTGTATGGTTCTCCTGCGCATCATGCCATAGGCGCGTGTCCCAAGTAGCTTACATATCAAACAACGGATCCTGCAATTTGATTGTCCATACAAGTTTCGGCCAACTCTTCGTTTCCCATGATACAAATTGATTGGGTACGTCACAGGGTAATTCCACTTTATGCTCCCCGGCTTCTCTGATCAAATCAACTCGCCAGGGCAGGGTTGCTGGACGGGGTGGTGTGGATGCGCGGGGCTTGAAGAGGTCCTTGCGGGCTCAGACGGCATGCAAAAATCCGCCGCCGCGCTTGTGCGGTATTGGTTTGTTCAGTGAACGTGGTTTAGGTCGCGGGTGGGTCGCGGGCTCTCCAACTCCACCTGGGAGGCATGCGAAAGCAGCCCGCCGCAGGCGCCCCCCCAAAAATACGCTGTGACGTACCCAACCCATTTGTACCCATGGAAACGAGGAGTTGGCCGAAACTTGTATGGACAATCAACTTGATGTGTAAGCTACTTGGGAGGCGTCACTGTGCTGGGCCCCGCAAGCAGGCCTCGAAAGTGGCGACAGTTTCACATATCGCAGCCCCCCAGGGATGGCGAGGTCCAGTTTGAATCTGCGTGTGGCGTCACTGTGCTGGGTACCCCAGCAGGCCTCGAAAGTGGCGACAGTTTCACAGATCGCAGCCCCCCAGGGATGGCGAGGTCTAATTTGAATCTGCGTGTGGGTACCCACTGTGCTGGGCCCCGCAAGGAGGCAACGAAAATTGCGACAGTTTCACATATCGCAGCCCCCCAGGGGTGGCGAGGTCTAATTTGAATCTGCGGTGGGTACCCAATGCTGGCCCCCCCCAGCAGGCCTCGAAAGTGGCGACAGTTTCACAGATCGCAGCCCCCCAGGGATGGCGAGGTCCCATTTGAGTCCGCCGTGGGTACCTACTGTGCTGGCCCCCCCCCCAGCAGGCCTCGAAAGTGGCGACAGTTTCACAGATCGCAGCCCCCCAGGGATGGCGAGGTCTAGTTTGAACCTGCAGTGGTACCCACTGTGTTGGACCCCCAGCCTTTGGAAGTGGCGACAGATCACATATCGCAGCCCCCCAGGGATTGCGAGGATTTAAATCTGCGGTGGGTACCCACAGTGCTGGGCCCCTCAGCAGTCGAACGTGGCGACAGTTTCACAGATCGCAGCCCCCCAGGGATGGCGAGGTCTATTTGAATCTGCGGTGGGTACCCACTGTGCTGGGCCCCCCAGCAGGCCTCGAAAGTGGCGACAGTTTCACAGATCGCAGCCCCCCAGGGATGGCGAGGTCTAATTTGAATCTGCGGTGGGTACCCACTGTGCTGGGCCCCCCAGCAGGCCTCGAAAGTGGCGACAGTTTCACAGATCGCAGCCCCCCAGGGATGGCGAGGTCACATTTGAGTCCGCCGTGGGTACCCACTGTGCTGGGCCCCCCAGCAGGCCTCGAAAGTGGCGACAGTTTCACAGATCGCAGCCCCCCAGGGATGGCGAGGTCCATTTGAGTCCGCCGTGGGTACCCACTGTGCTGGGCCCCCCAGCAGGCCTCGAAAGTGGCGACAGTTTCACAGATCGCAGCCCCCCAGGGATGGCGAGGTCTAATTTGAATCCGCCGTGGGCACTGT